TTATCACGGACAGTTGTTTTTGTTCCAGTGATATGCTTCAACTCTTAAATGAACCTGCTTAATACGGACACCTCTTATATTACGGACACTTGGTCATTGAATTGCATTTACTTTTAGATAAACCTCCCCTATTGTCCGTATTAACAGGGTTCAACTTATTCAACACTGTTTTCTCTTTGTAATTCAGTCGTACAAGGAGGAGTTGGTCAGCACCAGGAAGGATTTGGATCACGTGAAAAAAGTCGGGCAGCAGATCGCTGATAAATCACCTGAAGACAAGCGAGGTGGTATTGAACGAAGGATTGAAGAAGTTCAACAAGAACACAGAGAACTGGTCAACAAAGTCAACAAAAAATATGAGGTATTGGAAGCTGTCTGTCTGTCTGCGCACCTGTCTGTCTGCGCACCTGTCTGTCTGTCCGTGCATCTCTCTTTCTGTATCTCTTTTTATGTGTATTCAGGTTCAATGTCCTATACTCGTACACATTACTAAGGGAGGGAGAGCAAGTCAGTCAGTTAATCGCCAGAGTTGCAAGGAAGACTGGTAACGACTTTGGAAAATTTGGCGGGGAAAATATTGCAAGACGCGTGTAAAGTTGTAAATTTTTAAGAATTATCGTCAGCACAGCCTGCGAATTTCCAAGCAATCTGCTTCGACTTCGTATACCTAACTCTTATATTTAACGGTTTTTTTCAAGTGTAGAACAGGATGTCTAGAACGTCCCAAGTTTGCTTCTTTAGGAAGAAAAAAAAATGACGACATTTCGGGTCACTGTCTTTGGTTTTTCTACTCGGTCGCCTTACATTTCATCCTTCCCACCTAGAGCGATAACATAGTAACAGAATTTCTCTGTTTATAATCCTATTGAAAACCAATCGTGATTCATATTTTACATATTTATAAACCCATTCCACAAATGTTTAATATATTTCATCGCTTAGACCAATCACAACTTTCCATTTCTCAGTAATAACACTAGTATGTTTATCAAAACATCTCTGTTTTTTCTGACGACGCTATCAACAAAATAATCTCACAATACCAAATTGGTCTTAAATTCCAATAAAAATCAGATACGAGAATTCGCAGAAAAATAAATTGTTCGAGGGCTTAAGCAACTCAGCGAGAGAAATTCCTAGCAATCTTTTCAGTTTATTCTAGAAGAATGCGAAATATTTTGAAGATTTTCCATATGTTTTTAATTGAAGAATCGGTTATTATTTTGCACCATGCATGATCTTGAAATCTGAGTTGCTAATTGTTTTTACTCTTCTCCTTTTCTTTTCGACTTTGTAACTCTCAAATCACCTGTCAAAAACACGACCCCAAGGTTAGATTCTGTGACATTTTCTCTGCAATAACACTAAGGTGAACCATATCTGACATTTAATTCTAAAAACACTAAATCTGTTCCCCACCGAGTTCGGGTTAAAGTGGTATGAGAGACGAACAGGCATGGACGAGGGACCAGAATTACAAATATCAACGTTCTATATCGTCCCAAGCCCTGCCAGACCTCGCAAACATATCCCAGGACGACAACAGGTTATTATTTACAATATTCGTAAAGATTTCTATAAAATACTCATTCTCATAGATTTATTATTGTTATCTGTGTTATGAGCGCGAGCATTTGTTTTGACGAGCGTCCAACCGACGTCTATTTGTTAAATTCTAGTGTTTTTCTGCTTGATTTTCTTTCGAGAAAGTAGTTTTTTACTTTATGAAAGAGAAGTCCTTATTTGGCTTGTGGTCGCGTGGAAACTTGGTTATCCTCGATTAGACTGCTCGATAACATTTATTCAAACATCTGTTGATTTTTTTCCTCACTAATTTATTTGAATAATTATAAGTCTCGCTGGATTTCTCGAGAAACTGCGCTCTTTAGGGAATTCTTGGGCCTTATCTGCGACGAATCGCACCTCTGAGGCGTGCTACAGCTAAAGGAATGCAGGAACAACGTTTTCCTATAGTGTTGATTGGTAATCTGTTTGAATGTTAACCGTATTTTCATTTTTGTGAAGCGTTAGTCATTTTAGACAAAACTGGTGTCATTGTGATATTAGTTTCACGGTACTCTTGATATTCTCACTGTGAATGGAAGAGTGTGAAATTCGTCTGGGGCAACAGATACTTTAAGTAATTTATCTGTCCGCCTTATCCTGTTTCATTCAGTAAGAATCTTCCTCAAGCTGACTTGGCCGAATTATTGATAACTGGACTTCGAAAGGATGAATAAATCACAGTCTGTCAGTGAGTCACTCTGCAAGGAAAATCATTTTTACTGTGCTTTAAAATCAATTTTTTGTTGTTGTTGGAATGTTATGAATGCTATTTTTTCAACATAGTTTTGTAGGTTATTTGTCGATTTTGTTTCTTTCGATCAAACACGATACGAGTCTTTCATTTATGGTCAACATTGAACTACAATTCGTGAATATATCTGCTAAATTTTGCGAGTAAACTTCAACTATTTTTTTCCTATTAATTTCAACGCTTTGCTTAAGAAATGTCTACAAAACATTATTCAATAATCGACGATTTTTAGCTGTTTATTTTTCAAGTTATTACGTTACAACAGGAATAATTTTAGCATAAAATTTGTAATTCTGTCCTGCAGATTTCATTTAACACCATCAAAGGTTATCGCACAATCACGAGTGCTGTTTCCGTAACCTAGGYAACGAAAGAGCACCCTCTGGAGATTTTGTTCTGTGAGAGGCACAAAACATACGATGTTCTTAAACTAATAAATAAATAATGCAACCTTAAACTCTGAAATGTTCGAACAGTCAGTAAAAATCATTACAAAGGCGAGTAGTTTGCATCCCATTGAATAAAGTCACTTTGAGATTTGAATCATTAAACATTATCTTTTGTTTCTCTCGTTTTCAGAAAAAAAAGAATAATTTTTGTTTTAAAAATCAACCAATGAGAAGCTATTAYGTAATTTCGCGCGCTTGGAGGTAAAAACGCGGCCGCGTCACCCAAAATTCCCGCCATTTTTATTTTATKTWTGTAGTTTGTCARTTTTTCTTCTTTTTCTTTGTTTTGGTGAGTAATTTCATTCAGGTTTTTGTCTGTTTTTCTTTATATTTCTTTATGGATAATTTAGGAAGGATTTTGATGAAGTAATTCAGAGTTTTAGGAATTTAATCAAGTCAAGTTTAACCTTCTAAGTGACTTAGACATCCGTGCTAGATTTTATCGTCACAAAGGTTTGCCCTGCAGTTATCAGCTGAAGCAGTGATATAGATCTCTATCTCTACTCTAATTCAACCCTTCTTCCTTACAAACTGAACGAGCCTGAAGTAAACTAAAGCGAACACAATTGCAAGACGTATTATCTTTACCTTTTGTCGTTTGTGTGAAGATCATCAGATATGAAATTTTAGCAACTCAACTTCACCCGGTTTTGTTCCTTATTTAAAATGTACTAAAATTTGTTATTTTGTTTTGGAAATTTGTTTACTTGAACTTCTCCTTCAATCACTGAATTAATCAGCCCCRCAACTACTAAACACTAGACTCATTTTACTTTGCTCTTGAACTTGAATATAGTAAGCATAATACATAATAGTGGACASTAATTCCATTGTTTTMTTTTGTTTTRTTTTGACTGCTGACTCCCTTATCRTACAACTTTTTTTCACGGACCAAATAAATCACTCCACTTYAGTCTTCGTAAGCTCCTGGCTCTTAGATTATTTTTGTAGGAGTTTCATGAGAGAGGTGTGCTCGAAAGCTGGCTCCAAAATTGGTATTCTATCAAGAATGAGAAACCTGGTTCCAAAGAAAACCAAATTTTACCTCTTCAAATCAGTTTTTTTTTTTTTTTTCTTTTTTTTTTCTTTTTTTTTAAATGTATTTTTTATAGTTATATTCGTATTTGTATTTGTATATAGATTTTATTTGCATAATTTTCTATTTTCAGTTTATAGTGTCCTCAATTAGTATATCTATGCTTAAGTTACTCGACACATAAATAAAGTTTATTATTAATATTATTTTCTGTTCCAGAGAAAACCAAATTGTACCATTTTTTATTTATTTTTTTTTTTTTTCTTTCTTTTTTTTTTATGTATTTCTTATAGTTATATTCGTATTTGTATTTGTATATAGATTTTATTTGCATAATTTTCTATTTTCAGTTTATAGTGTCCTCAATWAGTATATCTATGCTTAAGTTACTCGACACATAAATAAAGTTTATTATTAATATTATTATTATGTTCTTTACTGAATCGCGTTTTGTTTTACGCAGGATTTTACTGAGGCACTTACTCTCGCTGGCCGAATCGAAAATGATATGACAAGATTGGAAACATGGTTAGAAAAAACTAGAAAAGAAGCTAAACGAAGAGTGGATGCTGGTTTCCCTGARGACGTGGACGAGGAAATTAAGTGGAACAAGGTAGGATAATATCCTGATTCCATACTTTAACAATTGTACTTTAGTTTAAAGATTTAAATTCAGGGCCGTGTCCAGRGAATCAAAGATGKYGTAACGGAAGACGATTTGCCTCTKTCTTCCGAGGTCTTTGGTWTGATTCYTGGACTCGGCACCACATGCGAGTGGACTTTGTTACGTCTTTCCATTGATTCGAGGGGATTTTCCTCGGATTCTCTGTTTTTTCCCCTCTGCAAAACGTAATWGCCTAAATTCCAATTCAATCTGTTAATCTGTGGGCTAGTCATAACCTGGTTGCAACATCCTAAAAATAGTTCAAAGCGGTACAAGAGGCTGCATTAGTCTATCCCCAGATTTTTATTTAGTACCGTAACCGTGTCGGGCCGTGTTTCGTTCTCTCTCGCGCTATGAATGGCTCAAACTTTCATTCGGTACCGTAACCGTCTCGTGCCGTGTCCTATTGTCTCCCGCGCTGTGATTGGCTCAACAGAATTTTCATTGGGTACCGTTACCGTTGCCGTGCCTAGCGCTGTTGTTTTTTCTACTGCTTCTCGGCTATTCTTGGCCGTCTGGCAAGTTTGAAGGAGGTCATGATCATTAGTGCGACTCGAACAGGAAATATAAATCTGATTTACACACAACCAGCACTAGATAACCCACTAAAGAAGATGATACGCTACACACCTTGAAGGCGTGGAATCAAAACACTTTTTTTTTTACTTTATAAATCAATTCATTTCAATAACATCGTATCATAATCCGCTGAAAATAKTTTGTCGTTAAAGAAGGCGTTCGTCTGAATTCATCCATATTCGTGCAATTTAATTCAGGATTGTAAGACTTGTATCTTTTATCTTTTAAATCAATGCTTAGAATCTTGAACTCATCTGGTWATAGCTCTTATCGCTAGAGTGGTTTTCTTACGAGAGACAAACGATACAGCAAATTCCTAACTATACTRTAGACGTACCCTTTCGTACCCTATTAGGGACCTTAAGCTGCAGGACRSCAAYGACGACGACGACRGGAATCCCTTRCAATGTYACTGTATGTCGTTTCGTRTTCTTGCTGTAAGTCAGTACTGTATGTTTCCCCCATACGAAAGCTRTTCTCATAGGAAACCATTTCAGTGTTACGACATCGACATCCCACTYGTATGAGCTGATTTTACTGTGAAAGYGAGGAAATTCAGTTGCATAACGTTTTGGTTCATTTTCGTTAAATTACTTCAAAGCTATTCTCATAGGAAACCATTTCAGTGTTATGGAATGTCGTACCTTAAGTACCGTATGATTTCCACTCGTAAGAAAACCACTCTACGACATAAACTGATTTTACTGTGATATGAGGAAATTCAGTTGTATAATTTTTTGGTTTTGTTTCACTTCATAGAATACAATCAAGGAAGTAACCGGCCACTTGTCCGAAGTCCAACGTCTGACCGAAGTGGGGCGAGAACTCGTTGACTTGAGCGAGACAGGTCAACTTGAGTCCCTTGAAGATAGACTTACGCGTCTAAACAACACATGGGAGGACTTGAGTTCACTCCTAGAACACAGATTAACCCTACTTCCTAAATACAAGACTCAAATCAAAGACTTTGAAAAACTTGTGGATCAGCTGAATAGTTGGCT